GTTTCATGTTTTATCAATACTACCAAGACGATCACTGTATTGTTTCATGTTTTATCAATACTACCAAGACGATCACTGTATTGTTTCATGTTTTATCAATACTACCGAGACGATCACTGTATTGTTTCATGTTTTATCAATACTACCGAGACGATCACTGTATTGTTTCATGTTTTATCAATACTACCGAGATGATCACTGTATTGTTTCATGTTTTATCAATACTACCAAGACGATCACAGTATTGTTTCATGTTTTATCAGTACTACCAAGATGATCACTGTATTGTTTCATGTTTTATCAATATTACCAAGACGATCAGATCACGTTAACGTTTCATGTTTTATCAATACTACCAAGACAATCACGTTATCGTTTTACTGAAACTACATGTTGCCTTAGTTTTAACAGCCAGTCTGAATTGAATCAGTCGTATTTCCCGTTTCGTCTACAGAATGTCATCCCACCTTTTAGTAACATCTGAGATAAACAATCAAAATACCACCTACGTTGTATCCATAGGACTACGATATCCACCCTGTTGCTGAGTGGGTTCTCGTTGATCCATGTTTAATATGTAATATTTCAGAAATATATATACCGTCCTTTTTATTTCTTTTTCTCTGTTTTTACGCCTTTATCTGACGTAAAGTCAAGCAACCAAATGTAGTTTAAATTGTGTACATGTGCCAACAAGACGTATACAGAAAGTTGTTTACAGTTAGTTGGCCTTGTTTATTTCATTTGGCGTTTTAATGGCAGATTCAACTATAACTTGAAAGTTGCTTTCTCACCTACCACATCTGTCCTAATTACTTTTGTCGTCTCTAGATTTATAAAATACAAAAATAACAAAAAGTCACGACTTTATTGATAATTCGTTTACCTAGAATTTGCATGAGAGGGGGTGGAAAACGTAACTCGTGTTAGTCTCGGATACTCGCGCAAAGCTACACTAGGCCAATCTGTCCCTTAATTTGAACTTATAGACTGGAGAGAAAGCAGCTAGACAACATCGCCAACTCTCTAACTACTCTGATAAAGTAGTGGTATTATTTATTATTATTATTTGTTGTAGTTACTGACCGATGTGTACGTCTAACCTTGTTAGGCCTATAAACTGTGCCGCAGTGCCCTCTGTGTTTCGTAAGGATAAGCGAACTTTTAGTGTATTTCAAAACGATTCGTTGAATTAGTTAATGCCTTCTATTGAGTAACTGACCAGCTCTTGGCTCTCCTCGAGTGACCTTTACCTTCAATGTTTTGACTCCAGATGAAATATAATTAATTACTGGACGTCTTATAATCCTTATCCACTTAGTTACTGATATGTTTTACTTTGAGAAGTGTGAAAGACAGTACTTGTACTCACAAGAGCCAACTTTTGTGTGTAAAAGACAGTACTTGTACTCACAAGAGCCAAATTTTGTGTGTGAAAGACAGTACTTGTACTCACAAGAGCCAAATTTTGTGTGTGAA